CTAGCTACCCTTCATATCTGGAATTGAACCCACACCTGTGGTTTCCAGCCAAACAAAATACAGGCATATGAGTTAAACATTTACCTCAAGTAGATACACGCCTTGGAGAGAACAATCATGGGAGAAAGGAGGGCTGCTTATGCACAGGGAGACTGCTCAGGGGGCAGGAGTGTATGGAGGGATGGACACTGGAAGAAGTAACTATGGGAAGGAAGTGGGAGGGGAGCTGATGCATTGTGGTAAACTGTGGTCAATGACATGAGACAAAGTATGTGAACTGCTGTATGGAAAGTGAATTTGCTCTGTAAATCTTCACCCAAATCACAGTAAAATAAACAAATAAATAAAAATTCAGATTATACTAAATATATAATTTCAGTCTTTTTTCACTTACATAAGCAATATTTCTCCTCAGCATTAATTAACATACCTTGCAATTTGTCACTTAATGACTTTATTATATAAACATTGGATTGTTTTCAATTTTGCTTATTATAAATGATGCTCCCAAGAACATTTTCACAAAAAAGTCTTTCCTTGCATTTTTAAGTTTTCTAGCTGACAAACTCCTAAAAATGAACTGGGCAGGATTTGGGCCAAAGTACCAGAAGAAAGTTTTTTGCAAACTGTCTCTGGATTTTGACCAGAGCTCCCTGACATTTCAGTCTCAGAGCCTAAACAGGGTAAGGATAAAGTCCACATAAGGAAGAGAACAAAAGATCGGTTAGGTATCACAGAACTCTGTTTACATATTAGATTAATCTAATATTTAAATATACAGAGAATGATGGGAACCAAATTTCTCACTGTCCAGAAAGGAGGTACAAATATCGGCAGAGATAATTAGAAAGTCTATGTTGGATTAGAATTGGATATACATTTGTGAATTCATTAATTTCCATATGTATAGCTAGAAATATAGTTGTAAATATGTGTGTATATATGTATATGTTCCTATAGATATGTTAACACACATGAATATATATATGTAAATATTCCTGACTGGCCTTTGAAGCAGCAAACCTCTCAATAACAATGAGTGTATCTTGCATCCAGCTCTTGGTTTCTAAATACTATTCTCTAGTAAAAGGAACTAGGACTTCTTCAAGAAATGGCAGATTCTTCTGGCACTTAGGCTAGCAAAACACAAAATGACCTTAGAATACCTTGTGAAAGAAAGCAAGAAAGTCCTCAAAGGGAACAGAATCATCCCCCAAAAATACTGACACCAGTCTGAAGGTGCTCCCACTAACCAAAGTGGAGACAATTTGAGCACCAATATTTATTAATAGTAAAGATCATATCAAATCGAATAAAGCAAGAGTTCATGAGTCTATAGAGTAAGCAAATAAAGTTCTTTAAGGAGCCCTGGTGGCACAGTGGTTAAGTGCTCAGCTGCTAGCCGAAAGGTTGGACCCACCAGCTGCTCTGTGAGAGAAAGATGTAGCAGTTTGCTCCTATAAAGATTATAATCCTGGTTTAACCCTATGCAGCAGTTCTGCTCTGCCTATAGGGTTACTATGAATTGGAATCAACTTGACAACTGGTTATTTACATAGTTTCAAAGTATCTCTCCACAAAACACTTGCTGCAGTGGAAAGTAATTTCACATTAGAAACTCTTGGAAGACACTACCTTCTTCAATAATGGGACAAGTGGAAATCATATGCCAACTGACAGGATGCAAGGTGTTCTGGTTACCTAGTGCCGCTCTGACAAGAATATACCACAAATGGGATGGCCTTAACAAACAGGAGTTTACTCTCTTACAGTTTGGAGGCTTTAAATCCAAGTTCAAAGTGCCAGGCCCTAGGGGCTCGGTGAAAGCCCCTCAGCCTTGGGCTTCAGCTCTGCCTCCAGCTTCCAGCCCACTGAAGCTAGAGGCACTTCTTCACTCAGCTGCTGAGGCTGAGAAGCCTAGGGTTGACAAGTAAAAAGGCACAATCCTGATGTTACCAAACCACATGGCAGGCCATTCATTCAAGTCCATTGTAAGCCCCAAGGTCGGCAGAGCATGGCAGGCTGCTGAACGACACGGCTACATGCAGGGTCCAAGCATGCCATAGGCTAGAGACCATTCCCAAAGCTGCTGCTCATATACGGGAAGTAGACCACATACCCAAAGCAGCTACTCAGCTGCTTGTGGTAGATCCCACCATGGAGCTGATTACCAGTCTCATCATGGGGAACAACCACCACCAGCTGCCCAGCCACTCAACCAAGCCCAGCTGACACAAAAACATAACCACCACAAAAGGAGAACCCAGCATCACTTCTGTGATGTTCCTGCCCATAAAGCACAATCTGAATCTAAAAACGAGACTCAGACAAACCCAAATTGATGGATGTTCTACAAAACAGCTTGCCTGTAATGGTCATAAGTGGTAAATTTGTGAAAGTTAAGGAAAGCCTAAGAAACTGTTCCAGATCAAAGGAGATTAAAGAGATAACAAATAAAAGCAACATTTTATTACTGGGTCAGCTGGCAAATTTTGAACAGTGTGAGAATTAGATGGTAGAAATGTATTCAATGATAAGGTGCCATTCTAGTGGGTATATTGAGGTTATGTAAAATGTTCTTACTTAAACATAATACACACTTAAGCATAAAAGAGTAACAGAGCATTAGATTGACAATTTACTCTCAAATGGCTCCCTCCCACTCCCAAGTGAGATACCAGAGCCTCACTCTCACCTGTGCTCAAGTGGCTGCCCCATGACTCCACAGAACAAGTGTTCACAGTGTCCCCCCATTAGACACTGCCCCTCCTTTTAAAACTTGGGCCCAGAGATACAATATACAGAGGAGTACTGGATTGGAAGTCCAAATATTTGGGTTTAAGTTTTGGTTCTTGGCTTTCTAGTTGCCTGACACTGATAGAGAAAGACCCAGTTGCCTTTCCTGCAAATCAGACAGCAATGCTTGCTTCAAGAGAAGCAGGTAAAGGGAAGATTCTGAATAGCATTATTATAATATTGAAAATATGGATACTTAAAATTTCCAACATTTAAAAGTCAAATAAATCATGGCACATCCCTATAACATACAAATCATTAAAAGTGATGTTTACAGTCTACTTCATGGCATGAAAATATGTTCTCTATGTTATGAAAAATAAAGCCATGTAGAAAATTGAGATTAACAAAGAGAGTTCCCAAAGATTTTCCCAGCAACACTGCAACTTACTGTGCACCACACCCCTTCTTACTTACCTCAAGCTCCTCTGCTAGCACGCGGACCAAGCAATGTCCCTCCAGGTGGCTGTCGTCCGCCGGGCACGCAGAGATCCAAGTTACACTCCGATGGGCTCGCAACACCCTTCGCACACACTCCCTCCACAAACGGCATACTCTGGGGACGCAAAGGCACAAAGGGTTGCGAACGGAGGTTCTTTTCTACCTCTTTCGCTGCCCGCAGATCCCCACCCGTTAACGTAGCAGTCGCAGACCCGAGCCAGATTCAAAGTCCCCGGGAGAAACAGATGTCGGGGCGCTGCTTCGGAAAAAGACGCAGAGAGAACCTTTAGGGGAACTTCGCGCCTCAGGTAGAGTCCCCGGGAGCCCCTTGGCAGGGGTACCAGGCTGGTGGGGTAGTCACCTCAAAGCATGGCTGGGGAGCCGGGGCACCCCTGGGTCCCAGTGGTCTCTGCCCGCCCCGCCGGCCCGGGCATGCCTGCTACATATCCTGAGGTAGGTGTCCCTCTTCTCCTGTCCTCACCCAGCCACCCGCAGCAACGCCTTCGCAGGTAGGAAGGTAAGTATGCGTTCCACCACCTCGGCTAGGTTACTCAACACGAAGGTGCTTCGTGGGTCTGCAGAGAAGGAGTTGGGGCAGTCACTGCCACCGCCCACCAGGTCCATTGCTCACCAAGCCGACCGTCGCTAGCACTACGGCGGCTTGGAAGGAGGGCTACCGCGCAGCCAGCGTGCACTGGGCAGGCGCGCACGTCACTTCCGGCCAGAAAGGGAATGCGTAGCTGTGGCACAGGCGCCCGCGTGACTCCAGGGCATCAGGTTTCCGGCGTTGGAGGTGGAGTTATCTAGTACTAGAAAGTACATCTGGGCTCTGGCGGTGCAGTGTCTCAGGCATTTGACTGCTAAGCAGAAGGCTAGTGGTTCAAATCCACCAGTCACTCTTGCGAAGGAAGATGAGGCAGTCTACTTCTGTAGAGATACCGCCTCGGAAACCCAAGGCGGGGTCACTATAAGTCAGATCCGACCATAGAGCAGAGAGAGAGAGAGACAGAGACCCTTTGTGAAAATAGGTACTCATCCCTCCGTGCCTCTTACTGTGCATGCCGCGTTGTTTTTTAGGTTGTTTCTTGAAAACAGGAACTGAGAGGTACTGGACTACATATTATCAATTTTAAATGACCAGGTGTTAAGATCTAGATTGGAGTTCATGGCTGCGTTCCTCATGGCCCTTATTCAACACCTTGTGAACTTGGATAAATCATTATTGTAGCCCTCGTGTCCTTAATAAATAAAGCAACATAAACGACACCTACCATCTTGAAGTGGCCGAATAAGGTAATGCTTGTGAAAGCACATCCTAAACTCGGCACTGATTCCTCCCCAGCAGCAAAAGATTGACCTGAGAATTTTTAAGTTTCTGTGTGTTCTCAGACCTCACACTCCAGGCCTACTGAGTCAGAAACTGGTGTGTTTTAACTTTCGACATTCTAATGCCAGCTCAAGTTGAGAAGAAGAGATAAAAGGAGTCTAAGCCCAGTATATGTGTTTTATTGATTATGCAAAGGCATTCAACTATGTGCATCATAACAAATTATAGATAACATTGAGGAGAATGGGAATTCCAGAACATTTAATGGCCCTTATGAGGAACCTGTACATTGACCAAGAGGTAGTCCCTTCAAACAGACACGGAGATTCTGCATGGCTTAAAATCCAGAAAAGTGTGTGTCAGAGTTGTACCCTTTCACCATACTTATTCAATCTGTATGCTAAGCAAATAATCCTAGAAGGTGGACTATGTGAAGAATGTGGCATTAGGACTGGAGGAAGACTTTTTAATAACCTGCAATATGCACATGACACAACATATTTTGCTGGAAGTGAAAAACACTTGAAGCATTTACTGATGCAGATCAATGACTACAACCTCCAGTATGGATTACACCTCAACATAAAACAAAAACCCTCATAACTGGACCAATAAGCAACATCACGACAAATGGAGAAATGACTGAAGTTGTCAAGGATTTCGTTTTACTTGGATCCACTATCAACACCCATGGAAACCACAGTCAAGGAATTAAACAACATATTGCATTGGGAAAATCTGCTGCAAAAGACTTTCTTGAAGTATAAAAAAGCAAAGATGTCCCTTTGAGGACTAAGGTGCCCCTTACCCAAGCCATGATATTTTCTATCACCTCATATGCATGTGAAAGCTGGACAGTAAGTAAGGGAAGACTGAAGAATTGATGCCTTTGATTTACAGTCTTGGAGAATATCATCAAATATACCATGGACTGCAGAACAACAAACAGGTGTCTTGAATGAACAAATCTGTCTTAGCGGAAGTACAGCCAGAATGCTTAAAAGAAGGATGGTGAGACTGTCTCAAGTCCCTTGGACATGTTATCAGGAAGGATCAGTCCCTGAAGAAAGACATCATGCTTGATAAAGTAGAGAGTCAGTGAAAAGACGACTCTCAACGAGATGCAGTGATACACTGGCTGCAACACTGGGCTTAAACATAGCAGCAGTTGTGGGGATGGTGCAGGACCAAGTAGCTTTTCATTCTGTTGTACAAAGGACCGCTTAAGAGTCGGAACTAACTTGATGGCACCTGACAACTAAAGCACATGAAGCCACTTTCCCACCTAACATCCATTCTTCCTGCTGCTGCTTAGCTAACACCCTGGTTTGATCCTCAGCTCTTGAGAGTAACTTTCATTGGTCTAAACCAGTGGTCCTCAAATAATTTGACCTCAGGACCCCTTTACACCCTTAAATATTAATAACATCAAAGAGCTTCTGTTTATGTGCATTATGTCTATCAATAATTACCTTATTAAAAATTTAAACACATCAAAAGACTTCTCCAAAACAGTAAAAAGAGAACCTACAAATTGAGAAAAAATATTTGGTAAAGATATATCCAAAAAGGAACTTATCTCTAAAGTGTACAGAAAATTCAACACCTCAACTTCAAAAAACCCAATTAAAAAATGGGCAGAACACATGGAAAGACACTTTACCAAAGAAGATATTCAGAAGGCCAACAAACACATCAAGCAATGTTCTCAATCATTAGCCATTAGAACGATGCAAATCAAAAAGATGAGATACGGTCTCACCCCAGCAATAATGGCAAAGTTCAACCAGACAGAAAATAACAAACGAGAGGATTTTGAGATTGAGACTCTCATACACCGCTCAAACCAAACTAAACTCACTGCCCTCAAGTTGGATCCAACTCACAGCAACCCCTCCTTGGGTTTCTGAGGTGGCATCACTACAGAAATAGATTGCCCAATCTTTCTTCCGAGGAGTGGCTGGTGGGTTTGAACTGCCACCCTTCTGGTTAGCAGTCAAATTGTAAAATGATACTACCATGGTGGAAAATGGTATGGCACTTCCTTAAAAAGTTGGAAATAGAAATACCATTTGATTCAGCAATCCCACTACTAGGTATATATTCTAAAGAAAGGAGAACCAGGATACAAATAGGTATATGCAAACCCATATTCATTGTAGCACTGTTCACAATAGCAAAAAGATGGAAATAACTTAAGTGTCCATCAACAGATAAATGGATAACCAAACTGTGGTACATGCACACAATAGAATACTATGCAACACTGAAGAATCTGTGAAACACATCATAACATAGATGAACTCAGAGGACATGCTGAGTGAAATAAGTCATTCACAGGGCTAATACTTTATGAGTTCACTATTGTAAAACGTCAAAGAAAGGTTTACACATGGAAGGAAACTTACTTTCTTGGTTACCAGGTGTGAGAAGGGAGGGGAAGGGAGAGAAAATTGCTAGATATGTGACACAAGTATTGATTGGGTGAAGAGAAAGACAATATACCAAAACCAAGTGACCAGCAAAATAACACTAAGGAAAAGGAAGACACAGAGAGGTGCACAAGAGGTACAGACAACAAAGGTAAATTTTACATATATAATACTGCATTATCAGTAATAACAAACATTAATATATATGGGTGGATACATAGGTAGACAGGTATGGGTAGGGAAAAGGGAATATATATCCATGACAATATGTAAGTTTGGCAGGTGGTATTACTATATAAGTATTTGTATGTGCTATAAGAATGTCCACATATTTAAAAGCTAATGGGGCAAAGTTATGTTAATTTCTTAGCCACTACCAAACACCCTGAGGGAATGAATCACTGGGTTCCTGGGCTTGGGACCACAGCTGCTGGGACATCAAGTTCATTTGGCATAACATACTACATAAAAGCATTATCCTACATCCTACTTTGATGAGTAGTGACTGGATTCTTAAAAACTTGCAAGCAGTCATCTAAGATCCAACAATTGGTCTCTCCTTATTCAAAGCAAAGAATGAAGAAAACCAAAGACATGGAAACAATTAGTCCAAGGGACTATGGACCATGTGAACCCCAGTTTATATGACCCTGAGACCAGAATTAGAAGGTCCCTGGCTACCACCATCCACTTGGAAAGCAATCAAAATAGGAGATTGTGCATAGAGTGGGGGGAAAAAAATGGAACAAAATTCACCAAGCCAAACTCACTGTCATCAAGTCGAATCCGACTCATACCGACCCCTCCCTTGGGTTTCCGAGATGGTATCACTATGAAAGTAGATTGCCAATCTGATAGAGACTGGTAAAACTCCCAAGATTATGGCCCTTAGTCACCCTTATGGGCCTAGAATCGAACTCAATCCTGTGACTTAACTTCAGTCTAGCAACAGGCCTATGAGGTGAACAAGTACCCCAGGTAGGTGTAATCCTTTGATCATGGGAGATCAAAAGGGCATTTGCACAGGGAGATAAGAGGGCAGGACTGCATAGGAAAGGACACAGGCAAAAGGCAACCACAGAGAAGAAGTGGAAAGAAAGCTGTTACATTATGGTGACTGCAATCAATGTCATGAAATAAAATGTGTATGAATTGTTCAATGGAAACCCAAATCTCAATTTTAAAAAAGAAAGGTAGATTACAGCCTTGGAAACTCTACAGGGCAGTTCTACTCTGTCCTTTAGGGTCACTATGAGCCAGAATAGACTCAATAGCAACTTGTTTTCATCCCAGATATATCCTACACTTAAAGTTTGGTTGTCAGCTTTGCTGTTCCATTATTTTAATGATATATCATTTAAAATTTAGTAGCTAGTGGAGGCTGGCTAAGAATTGTAAGTTCAAATGTGACAAAATGTAATATAGGTGACGCTTTCCTAAACTTATAGCCAGTGGTCTGTCTTTATTTTGTAACTACAGAAACATCAGTCACATTGTTTCTGTTTTATAATGTAATCTGAATGTGATGAAATATGAGAAATACCATCCATTATTCAAAAGTCAAAAAAAAATTGAAACATTTAAAAATAGTAAATCCATTACACATTAGCAAAATAACATTTTTATGAAAGTAACTGTATCCCCCACCACAAATGGTGAATAGTGTGGTATTACTTTACATTCTTCTAATCTATAATTTCTACTAGATAATGGAAGATTGTCACCCGCTTCTGAATTCAACTTTTTGCAATATGACATATCATGCTGTCAGTTGCCATTAAGTCAATTCCAATTAATGTTGAACTCATGTGTTACAGAGTACAATTTAATCAGGTTTGCAAAGTTGTGACCTTCCTGAAGCAGATTGCCAGACAACGTCTTGAGATGTCTCCCAGTCTGAACTGCCAACCTTTCAACTAGTAGTGGAGTACACCAGCCAGGGACTCCTTATTATGTGTCACATAGTCTCTGGAAAATTTCCCTGTACATTTGTGAAAAAAATGAGTGTGTGAAAGGCAAATGTTTTAGTATTATGAAAACCATTTTCATCTTGCACACTTCCTGAAAGGGTCTCCTCATCCTTTGAGAACCACTGATCCAAAGTAATTGTGATGGTCTCACATTCTGTTCAGCAGCCATTGGTTTAGGGATGTGCACAGGCCCAGTGCAAGCCAAGAAGTGAGGGGCAGTGTGCTTGGTGGGGTGGGACGTCTGAAGATTTCCACACCTTCTAAAACGATACTGAAAGAGAAGACTTGTCTACCTCTGGATTTAGTAAGGCACATTCATCAAACATACCATTCAATATAAAGATGAAATCAAAATGAGAAAAATCTCAAAACAGCAGAGCTGAGATGTACCATGCCTGGAGTCCTACCCTCAGGACTTTTTAATTGTAGTGAAAATACACACATCAAAATAAAATTAAATGACATTACATTTTTCATGTTGTACTATTTATCACTAACCATTTCCAAAACATTCCACCACCATAACTATAAACTCTGCCTGACCCCCACACAAAAAATTTCCCTTCCCACCCCTGGCTACCATTAATAATCTTTGTTTTCTATGTATTTCACATAAATAAGATCATACAGTATTTGTCCATTTGTCACTGACTTATCTTGATTAGCGTATTTTGCAGGTTCATCCATGTTGTGACATGCACCAGAAGTTCATTTCTCTTTACAGCTGCTTAATATTCCATTGTATGGATATACATTTTATTTACCCAGTCATCTGCTGATAAACATTTTAGTGTTTCCACCTTTTAGTTATAGTGAAAAGTGCTGCACTGAACATTGGTGTGTGGATTTCTGTTAATGTTCCTGCCTTCACTTCTTCTGGGTATATATACCTAAGATTGAGATTGTGGGTCATATAGTAGTTCTATGCTTAACTTTTTGAGGAACCACCAAACTGTTCTCCACAGAGGCTACACTATTTCACATTCCCATCAGCAGTGGATGAGTTGAGTCTCGCCACCACCTTACCGACACCTCTTGTTTTCCATTAATTTAATCATTGCCATTACAATGGCAGTGAGGTGGTATTTCACTGTGGTTTTTTCAGCTCCCTAATGGCTAATGAAATTGAACACTGTTTCATGTGCTTTTTAGCCATTTGGATACACTCTTCAACAGCCTATTCAAGTCCTTTGTCCATTTTTTTTTTATAGTGGGTTGTCTTTTCTTTAATTTGTAGAAGTTTATATATATGTTGTTGTTGTTGTTTTGTGCCGTCGAGTCAGACCCGACTCACAGCGACCCCTCCTTGGGTTTCCAAGGCAGTATCACTATGGAAGTAGATTGCCCCATCTTCCTTCCGAGGTTTGTTTATATATATATATATATATATATATATATATATATATATATATGTATATTTTATATTTAGCTCTTATCTGATTTGATTCCTACAAATTTTCTCCCAATCCATAGTTTACTTTTTCACTTTGTTGCTGAAGTCCTTTATGTACAAAAGTACTGAATTTTTATGAGGTCCCATTTATCTATTTTGCCTTTTGCTGCTTGAGTTTTAAGTTGCCATATCCTCTGGAACTCTTGAATGTGACAGGAGAGCTGTGTGCTAAGGAAACCAAGGAGTATGCTAAAGGGGGAGCAGATCACTATAAATGGGGAAACTAAAGAATGTGGCAAAGGGAAAGGACTGAGGAAAATCTGAGTATACCAAATCCCTATATACTTTTTTCTGGATTCTCTAGCTTCCTCTTAAGTCAATCTCTGCCTCTCTTCCTCTCAAGCCTCTCCTCACCCCATCCCATCCTAATAACCCTATTCCAGAAACTCAAGAAAGCCTAAAGATACCTGAAGCAAAGAGTATCTCTTAGGGAAAAATGACAAAAGTAATTTTTTAAATGGTTCTTTATTCATAAACTTGATGCAAGTTTACAAAATTTACTGTACATTGCCATATAATTCTGCAATGAAAAATCAAAAAAAAAAAAAAAAGCATGCCAAATGTGCAGCTGTCAATCTGCCAGCCATCAGAATATTAAAGAATTCAATAATGTATTCAAGATTTAGCCTTAGGTTTAAGGAACTTTAATGCTTTAAAGAGTTCTGCCTTGTCACTTCTTTTCTGAGCAAGTGGCTATGAGAACTTTATACAAAAATGTAACCAAGTGAACAAGAAAGCCAGAAAATTGTTATCTACTGTCTTCTTAACCAAATAGAATCAAAAGAAATAAAAACACACACAAATAATACAGAAATGCCAAGTCTCTCTGATGTGGTTCACACAGTTAAAAAATTGAATCTTAGGGCAAATGTGTAAGAAACACTTCTAAACTGGGTAACTGGTTTGTGCAGAAAAATGTGCTTCTAGGTTTCTTTTTAAAAGTGCTTAACATCTAGAATTTACTTTTAAATCAAACTTGAATGTATAAAAAAATCTATTACCAACTGAACAGGACTCATTCAGGCAAGGCAATAAAATGGAGAGTACATTGATTTGAGTCAGATTTTATAAGAGAATTAGCATGTAGAGTTCTTATTAGTCTTTCAGTGTAAAAGCCATTATTAGTAGTATGGCAACATATTTTAAGAATTTCCAAATTAGACAGTATTTTTTTGTACTCAACTGTGCAGCTTTTGCTCAAGGAACCTTTGTACCAATCACTTTATAAGTTATTAGTTTACAAATGATTGCAACATCCCCTTAATAAATTGGAAACGTAAAATGACTTAGTATTTTAAGTAATTTCAAGATGTATACTGTGGCTCTTCTTCTTAAGGAATACTGAACCAACAAGAAGCAGATCCAGCCCAGCAAGACTCTGATGACCCAGTGGAAATTACTTCTTACAGGCCTTCATCGGCACAGCCTTGCTTTGCTTTACCTAAAAAGTACAACCCAATTAAGAGTATATCATCAGGAAATAGTTCGTATCTTCACACAGCTATTTAACAATTAATGAGTAGGTTTCCTGTCATTATTTTGGCAATACCATAAAATAGTTTTAGACCTGAAAAAGCTACTGTGATTTAGAAGACCTTAAATTTTCTAAACCAATATTAAACAACAATTAAACTTTTATTGGCTTGAAATGAAACAATATATTGCAAGTCATCATAATTCATGGGTTCAATACAGGAATATTACCCAAAATGGGTCACAACTTTAGTAACCTGATGCTGACTTGCCTACTTAAAAGGTTTAAGTTTTCAAGAAAAAAGGATGATAAGGAGTGGCTAGTGTATTTATCAGGAAAAATACAGTAAAAGCCCCACTGCTCAGTCCATGATACCTAAGATGAGCAAAATGAAAAGGCTGTAACTTATACTGGATGTCAGTTGACAGATTACCCACTAAAATATCTATTGGCTAACGTCTTCAGTACTGCTGTTATAGGGGCACTCAAAGCTTGTGTCTGCATGTTGGGAAGATTTTCTTTAAAGCAACATTGGTCCAAATATATGAAAGTCAACACATTTAGCCATCTTCCTTTGGAGGGGTGTACCAGCCTAAAAGAAAGGAAAAAAAAGTTAAAATACTTTAATTCTTAAACCAACTGGAAGAGCTGGCATTTGTTAAGGTTACCTACATTATCTACTCATAATTTTGGTGTTTAAACCTACTGCAAAATTAAGCTTATACATGGGCTGCTAACAGCATTTTGTATGTTCACAATATGAAATTATTTGCTATGAATATACTGTACTTGAGTTTTGAGAATAAGATCTCTATATTAAAGCCATTCCTAGCTAAAGATGATATTGTGGAATACAAGACTACATGCTAGGTTTTATTCCATTTCAGTTTTTTATTTGAAAGGAAATCTATAATTATATAATATGTGTGTGTGTATGTATGTGTGTGAGTTTAATGTCGGCATCAAAAATAACTATCCCACGAACACAATCCTGGCATTTCAAAATAATAACTTGGATTATTGTCCAGTGCAGTGACGTCATTTCACCAATGAGGTAACTGAATGACTCTGTATAAGATCAGAATGAATAGCAGAAGCCAAACTAGAATCCACCTCTCATTATTCTGAATCTATTGCTCTTTCTACCACATATAAGCTTACACACTCCACACATTCTCAAATATAGTACCCTCCACAAACATTTTTGAATGGCAATTGTAATGTTTGCTTTAATTAAAAACAAATAAATCAAGGAAAGATAAGAAAAAAGTGTTTCCTAGTCTTGAGACTAAGTACTATTTAGTATGAAATCGCCATCCAAGCAGTAGGAAAACACCAAGATTTGTGGAGCATCCAACATGGTTATGCAGTAATATACAAGTTTCTTTGGCTACTAATTTAGTGTACTAAAAATTATTATGAAAAGCCAGCAGCATTATCCTTAGGTTTTATCACTTTCCTCTTCAGTTTGAAAATTTTGTTTGAATACCGTTCTCATCCTGAAGTAGTAATCACTGAAAAAGTGGCAAGTTCGTTTTGTTATTAAAATAAAAGTGAGCATGAAACACAAATCTTCAGTGACAAACCTGCTACATTTTCCAGCAAAGTATAGTTATTGCTAATCCTCTCTTAAGAAATCTGTTCTTAAATTTTTTATTCTACACAAAAAGACTTGAGCTTCCTTATCGTTGCCACAGCAAATATTATTAAACATCACACTTTGTTACAAAGTGCTACTCATACTCACTACTCTGGTTTTCTTCCTCACGAGTTTGGCAAGACAGATACACCAATTTTAGAGATGAGGAAACTGAGACTAAGAGAAGTGATGAGACTTGCTCAGGACCACAAAGCTAGTAATGTCACAAACAGCACTAGAAAATAAGTCTTTTGATTTCAAGTCTAGTTGTTTTTTCACTTGTTGTTGGAAACAAAACTTAAAAAAAAAATGTGCATTATAAATAGACACAAAATTTAAAGGAAGGCCAATAAAGTTCATGAAAGATCTTTTAAGAAATTTTTTTTTTTTAATTTACAACTCAAATACTCTTAGAACTATCCTCATTTGAATAGATAAAGTGTGTAAGCATGGCAAACCCATTAAAAGCAAAGATATTTCAGAAACAGCTAGTTTATGATCTTGACTGCCTTGACACCTAAAGCTTGCAAGCAGCCATCTAGATGCAATGATGGGTCTCTCCTCATCCAGAGCAAAGAATAAAGAAGAAAACCAAAGATGCATGGGATACAATTAGTCCAAGGGGACTGGCAGACCATGCGATCTTCAGCTTACATGACCATGATACCAGAAAAATTAGATGGTGCCTGGCTACCACTGTCAAACACTCAGAGGGGGCTCAGTGCAGGAGATCCTAGATAGAGTGGAGAACAATGTAGAAGAAAACTCAAAATAATTACCAAAAAAAAAAAAACCAGGTTTGCTGGTCTGATAGAACCTGGTGAGCCCCTGAGACTATGGCCCTTAGTTACCCTTCAGGTCTGGAACTGCTCACTCTTGTGGCTTCCAGCCAAATAACAGACAGGCATATGGGGTGAACATTTACATTAGGTAGATACACTCCTTGGAGAGATCAATCATGGGAGAACAGAAGGGCAGTGTTTGCATAGGAAGACAGCTCGGGGCGGGAGTGCCTGGCAGGAAAGGACACAGGGAAGAGGTAACTACAGGGAGGAAGTGGGAAGGGAGTTGTTACATTGTAGGGACTGCAGTCAATGTCATGAAACAAAATGTGTATGAACTGCTGTATGGAAAATGATTTTGCTCTGTAAACTTTCACCCAAATCACAACAAAAATAAAAGAGGTCTTTTGCAGCAGATTTTAAAAAATAAAAATCATAATAAAAGAACTCTACCTATTAAGAGTTACCTTTAACTCAATTCCCATCCTATGAATTGAATAATGTGATTCATTCACTCATCTCAAAATCTTGAATCTGACTCAGAAGTAGGCAGGCCAAGTGTTCACGATACAAAGATTTCAAATGAAGCACAGCATGTGTATCTGTATCCTCAAGTTTACATTTTTCACTATGGTAACAGTACTTCATAAAAATTAAAGCAACAATAGAAAGATATAACATAAGTACCAATAATACATAATATAAAATTTCATAAATGGAAATAAATACTTGTTAAATTAAACGTACCATTTTTCTCATGTATCTGTACAATGGAATTATAAGATTGTTGGGCTCTTGCTAGATTATACTGATTCTGAAAGAGAATTACATTATTTTAAATCAAACTGTAACTAGATGAAAATCATTACAATAAATTTATTGATGCATCATTACCAATATGCTTAGAAGAGCAGAGGAAATTGAATTATATTTCTATTCTGGAAAAAAAATGAACTGAATATCCTTGTTTTTCAATTTTGTTATCCTCTACCATTATATAAAACAAAACTGCACCCCCAAGAAATCTATAAGCTTCAAAATTCATTTATTTAGGTCTTATCACTAGACAAGTACAAACCTTTATAGTTCTAGTGGCCAGCACCATACCAATGCATAGTTAAATGATTATTAAATGTTATTTGAAGTTAATAAAACATCAGTCTCTCTTCTTCGTATCTTCTACCAAAATAAAACAATGAAATAGTACCTTCAGATAAGAAAACATTAAGCTTTAAGACCTATACATACAAGTGACATCTGGAATTAGAAATCTAAAGTATGATCATAATTGGGAGTAAGCCATTACTCTATTACTAAAGGAGTCTTCACTTGGTAAGCATGTAGTAGTGCCCTTTTTAAGGGACCAAATTTAGGGTTAATTTTATCACCATAAGTACAACTGACCTACATCTTAACTTCCATTTAATATATTGTGAGCATTCTCCATAATGGTACACATTTATTATGTCATAGAGCTTTTTTAATAATAAATTCACAGCACAAGAATCAAAAATGTATAAAAATAGAATTCTAAATGAAAACTCTTTCTACCTGTCCCCAGCTACCCAGAGTTCACTCCCCATCCATTCCTCTTCTCCCAACCACATTAACCACTGTTACTAGTTCCTTGTATATACCTTATAAACAAGCAAATTCACGTACTGCCTGTTGTCATTAGCCACTGTCCCCAATATTCCCTTCAAATGTAGCATGCTATAGACATGTTCTGCCTCTCTTTTCATCTGAAATCTCTTAGAGTGCCTTATCAGCACACAAAAAGTTTGCCTTTCTCTTTTTAAAAACAGTAAAATGTTCTACTCTATGGATCTTCTACCATTTAATCAGCCTCCTTTTGCTGGACATTTGGGTTGTTTTCAATATTCTACTGTTACAATGTTATAATGAATAATCTTGCACAGATATTTGCAATGTGCTAATAAAAATTTCTTAAGAGTTGCTGGATCAAAAGACATATACCTTTATAATTGTGAGATATTGCTAAATTGCCCTCTATAGAATTGCACAAATTTGCTTACCCACCAGCACGTATGAGTGCCTCCACACAACCTTGTCAACAAAGGACTTTATCAAATCTTTTTTATTTTTGACAATATGATAGGGTAATAGGCAGAAACTGGAATTCTCAGTGTAGTGTTGATTTGCGTTTCTATTAATAAGGTATGGTTTAAGAATGTCTCCATATGCTCATGAGCTACTTATTTCTATCTCCGTAAGCAGACTTTTTTTTTAATATCCTTTTCTCATTTTTCCTAAAAGGGAGTCCTTTTCAATTTCCTAAGGACTCGCTAAAATATTAAAACCCTGCCATAATGCATCTTCAAAAACTGAAATACCTAAAATATACAGTACTGTTCCCTCAAAATTAATGGAATAGTGTTTTTCAGTCTGTATTTTCACAAAAACAAAAGAAACAGAACAGACTGTACATAACAATACACACAATTTCCCAAATGCTCATAAAGCAGTCACAACCCAACCCTTGTGCTCACCACCCAAGTCACAAGGGGAAAATAAGAACTTTAGCCTTGCCCATTCTCAACTGTCAATGGCATAATATTCACATTCCCATTTAAGAAGAATGTTGCTGCAGAGGCTTTACAGTAACAGGGAAAAAGAAAAACTCACTGCCCTCAAGTGAATCCGACTCATAGCGACCCCTCCTTGGGTTTCTGAGGCAGTGTGACTACAGAAGTAGATTGCTCAATCTTCCATCCGCAGTAATAAGGAGTTAGCCCTTTATTTTCTAACTCATTGATTTCTGCTTTTATCTTTCTTCTTATTTCTGCTTTCCACCACCAGTTTATTTGCCCTTTATAACACTGAGAGGCTTCATTCATTTTCAATTTTTTTTTAAACCTAACAATCTTTAGTTTGGTATATACCATATTTTTACTCAAATAACATGTGCATTATCCAGGTTTGGTTTTGGCAGGTGCTTTTTGTGGGGGGAGGCAGTAAACCTCCCAACACCGTCATGCATCAGTTCCTTATGTGTGTTATACACATGTGCATGCTATTTACATGGGCATGTTATCTGTGAAAATATGGTAGTGATTCCATCATTTCTGTTTTTTGATATTCTGAAGTTTTAATTTGAAACCCTCTTAGGTCCCAAATGACCTCAAGTCTGCTTAAGTTTTAAACTTCCAAAAAGTAGTATCTGTTTTCTGATTGCATCATTAACTTTTTTTTTTTTTTTATTTCAGAAGATGGGTTTATTATTTTATTCTTTTTTTTTTAGGATTTGGGTGAAGATTTACAGAGTAAATTCACTTTTCATACAGCAGTTCACATATACTTTGTCTCATGTCATTGACCAAAATTTA